AATTAACATCCTGAAAATGCCTCTCTCACCCAAAGCAATCTACAGATTCAATGCAATCCTCATCAAAATACCATACCAATGACATTCTTCACAGAAAAAAGAAAAAGCAATCCTAACATTCATATATAAAAACAAAAGACCTCAAATAGCCAAAGAAATCCTCAGCACAAACTAGAAATAAACCTGGTGGCATAACACTACCTGACTTCAAATTATATTACAAAGCTCTTGTAACCAAAACAGCGTGGTACTGGCATAAAAACAGACACTTGGATCAATGGAACAGAATAGAAAACCTGAGAATCAACTCACATACTTAAAGCCAACTGATCTTTAACAAAATCAACAAGAACATACACTGGGGGAAAGACTGCCTCTTCAATAAATGGTGCTGGGAAAATTGGGCATCCCTATGCAGAAGAATGAAACTGGACTTGTTCCTCTAACCACGTAGCAAAATCAACTCAAAATGGACTAAAGACTTAAATATAAGACCAAAACCATAAAATTACTAAGGGAAAACATAGGGGAAACACTTCAGCAAGTAGGACTGGACAAAGACTTTATGCAGAAGACCCCCAAAGCATAAGCAAGTAAAGAAAATATAAACAAATGCATTATATCAAATTAAATTGTTTCTGCACAACAAAGGAAACAATCAACAGAGTGGAAAGACAATGTATGGAAGGGGAGAAAATATTTGCAAACTATACATCTGACAAGAGATTAATACCCAGAATATATAAAGAACTCAAACAACTATACAGTAAAAATAAATATATAGACAAATAATAATCCAATTAAGAAATGGGCAAAGAAGATGAATAGACGTTTTTCAAAGGAAGACATACAAATGTCCAGCAGACACATGAAAAAATGCTCAGCATCACTAATCATTAGAGAAATGAAAATCAAAACCATATTGAGATATCATCTCACACTAGTTAGACTGGATATTAATAAAAAGACTGAGAATAACAAATGCTGGCAAGGATGCAGGGAAAGGGGAACTCTTCTACACTGTTGGTGGAACTGTAAACTGGTGCAGTCATTATGGGAAATGGTATGGAAGTTCCTGAAACAACTCCAGATAGAACTACCATGTGATCCAGCAATCCCAGTACTGGGCATATAGCCAAAGGAATGGAAATAATCATGCCAAAGGGATATGTGCATTCCCATGTTCATAGTAGCTCTATTTGCAATAGCCAAAATATGGAACCAACCTAAATCTCCTTCGATGGATGACTGG